ACCCTTAAGTCTCACTGAAGCTCATAGACAGAGGATGACCAGTTCATTAAGTCTGAAAATATTCCCTAGTATAGTTCTTGAAGCATTTTGGACCATCACGGAAGAGTATCCTGCTGATGTTGTAGGGATGGATAGGGGTGGGCTTGGGTTAGATGACATCAACTGTGATGACAGCACAGGTGAGCAGATGGGAGGTAAAGTCTTTGTTGTACAGCAGCCGGATACACTGGAGGTATTTTTTGTCACTGGACCACTGCAAAGCATCCATCACCACATGCCAGAGAATCTGACCCAGAATGTGCACCCTAATTTAGATTCCTCCTGTCTCCGGTTCCAAGAGGAGAATCTACAGGACAGTAGTTTGGGAAAGTTTGCCATTAATAACTAGCTAGGTTATTGCTTGATGCTTTTCCATTCATTCCTTTTTTGTAAGAGAAAAATTAATAGCCCATGATCCTCTGTGCAAAACCAATATAATCAACACCATGTTTGAGAGATTAAATTGCTTTCTTATCAAGAAAGGCCAGGAAAAATCTATTTACAAACTTGATAAAAATTTCAACAACAAAAGCGGTACACTTGTTATAAAGATTGGAAGGAAGGGGGCATAGATTAATCATTACTGCAAATGTGACTGACTTGCCAGTATTATGATGTGACATGATCGTTACAGAATGAATATTGCAGAATGACATCTGACTAGTAGCTTACCATACAGTAGCATTTCAGTACTCTATTCAAAGGAGGAGGGGAGAGAGAAAAAACAAACACGCAGAGTTTCACAAAGTAAATGATGACCTTTTAATTAAAACAATATGAGCGTGGTTTCAGATGCACTGGATACCCTGCCTTATTTGAACCCAAATCACTTGAAGGTCCTACACTGCATCAGCCAATAGGAAGAAAGGGATGTAATAGGCATGAGGAAAAATGTGGGGGACCACAACCAGGGTCTGCCAGCCTCTGCTGCTCACCTGCTCACAGGCTGAGCACCCCCTGACAGGGGCTGCTGCGCCCTGGTCACACAGACCCCGGCTGGAGCTCCCTCAGGGAGAGAGGGTGAAATAAACCCTGTCTCTGTGCCTTTAGCCTCAGGGGGCCATGCCTGCCCCTGCTGCTGCAGAGGCAGGGTGGAGTGGGAATCCTGACAGGGGAAGCAGTCCCAATGGTGTCCCAGGGAGCACAAACCTGGTGGGGGGTGCTGCAGGCAGGACTGGGGTGGGCAGAGCTGCCATAGCCTGTGTAGGATGGATGGCAGCACCAGGGCTGGCTACAGGGGCTAAGGCTAATTTTGAGGTGGCCATAACCCCTCAAACCCCCTAGTGCTGGCACCACTTAGCCCCTCCATAGCCACCCCTCTCAGCCCTGCCACTGCCACTGCCACTCACTCTGGCTTAGCCCCGTAGTCCCAGCTGGTGGCAAGGTGGGCAGATGGTGGGGCCAAGCTGGGCTGGGGGGGCAGGGCCCTTCCCATCTGGCTACAGCTCAGGCTGCGGCCGTAGGAGCTGTGCACCCAATTTGCTCCAACTCCTTGCACCCAGGCTGGGTCCAGCTAGAAAGGACTCTGCCCCCACGGCCTGGTCTAGCCTGGCCTGACCCTGCCTTCCACTTGCCTCGCCTGGGGCTGGAGCTGGGGCTGGACCTGTGGAGCTGAGCCGGGCTGGCCCATTGGTGCTGCCAAGGGCAGGCATGGAGGGACCAAGCTGTGAGGACAGGGCCCTTTTCAGCTGGCTGCGGAACAGGCTGGGGCTGTGGGAGCTGTGCGCCCGGTTCACTCCCGGCTCCCTATGCCACAGGGTGGCAGGGGGCTCTGTGCGGCACTTCTTCAGTGGCTTCATGACAGCCAGGCCTGGCCTGGATGTGAGGAGCCAGGACTAATCTGGGCACACAGCTCCCATGGGCCCAGCCCAAGCTGCATCCAGCTGGGAAGGGCCCTGTCCCTGAAGCCCAGCTTGGCCCAATCCAGTTGTATCCCTGGGGCAAGGGCTGCAGTGCTGAGCCAGGCTGGCCAATGGGCACTGTTGAGGGTAGGCATGGAGGGGGTCAGGGCTCTTCCCAGCTGGCAGTGGCTCAGGCTGGGGCCACAGGAGCTATGCACCTGGAATACTCCCAGCTCCCTGCACGCAGGTTGTCAGGGAGCCACTGCAGTGGCCAGAGCTCTCCCCTTTCTCCTCCTCCCCCACCGTGGGGTGGGGGAGTGTGGTCTGTGTGGCGCTGCCTCAGCGGTTCTGTGGCAGTTGGGCCTGCCTTGAGGGTCAGGAGCCAGGAGCAATCCAGGCACACAGCTCCCATGGCCCCAGCCCAAGCTGCAGCTGGCTGGAAAGGGCCCTGCCCCTGTGGCCCAGCCTAGGCTGGCCCCTCCACACCCACCCTCCAAGTGCCCGTGAGCCAGCCTGGCTGAGCCCTGCAACCTCAGCCCCAGGCAAAGCAGGCGGATGGCTGGGCCAGGCCAGGCTGGGCCAAGCCGTGGGGGCAGGGCCCTTCTCTGCCAGAGGTGAGGCTCAGGCTGGGGCCACAGGAACTGTGCACCCAGATTGCTCCTACCTCCCCACGCCCTGGTCAGGCCAGGCTGTCATGGAGGGCTGTATCCCTCCTTCTCCTCTCCTGCCACGCGGTTGTGGGGAGCTCTGTGTGGCGCTACCTCAGGGCTCAGGTCTGGAGGAGCACAGCACTGGGCCCTCTGTAGGGCACAGGGGTGAAAACTGGCCACTGTTGGGCAGGGGGGGAAAACTCTGTGTTTCTGGATCCCTTTGCCCAAGCCAAGCTGGGCTGTCAGGCAGCCACTTCCTCCTCCTCCCCCACCATGGGCCAGAAGGAGCAAGGGGTCTGACCATGCCTCCATTCTCACTGCTTGACCCTTCAGTGCCAGGTGGGGGCTGGGGGCTGACTACACTCCCTCCCTCCCCGCTCCAAATAGCTTGGCAAAGGCTTCTTCCCCCTCCCCCTCCTGACGCAAACTGGCTGGGGTCCCTGCAGCCCAGGGTGGGGGTTTAAGCCCACCACAATCATACTAAGGCCTGCCAGGGCCTGACCATGCCCCCTCTCTCAGCTCAGCTTCCTCTAGCCACTGTGGCTGGGAAGGGAGGGCTCACTCTAGTGCCCTCTGGCTTCTGGCCTAATCCACTGCAAGTATATGCCTCCATTTCCAGAAGCAAAAGTGAATGTCTATTCACTTGCTAATTGGTTCAATCTATGTGGTTTACACTAACCTTAAAAGATTGAATCAATATCGGTGTGGGCTTTTTGAATGTCTGTCCCTAGCCAGGAAGTTCTGAACGATCATGTAATATGGGTTCAGGTTGCAGTTGCTTCCTAGTAGGTATGTATGCTGGGTTCCTTCATTGAGAGACTGGCATGCACAGTTGCAAATGCTTACACCATGCAAAGTCTAACCTGCGAGCCCGATCATGTACTGAGCTGGAGGGTTCAATATTGCAAAGGGCTGACAACAACATAGCTTCTCTACATTATCTTAAAGGACACAAATTTCAACAAACCAAACAAACATGCTCCCTTTACCCAACTAGTCCCATCTCAACGCTACATCTACCAAGTGTCTCAGATACCACAGCCATGGGTACATCTAGAAGGCTCAAAGATGATAGAATAAGTCTCCATTTGTTGATTTTCTACTGCTACTGACTTAGTCAAGAATGGGACAGGGTGCTCTTTCTCCACCTTAAATCATAATGGTTAGTGAGACTTTGATCTTCTTCCTCACTATCCTGATAGTCTGTTTGTCTCTAGCTGTCCAAAGTACCATACAAGACAAAAGCCTCATGTTTCAGTGAGTATTTTCACCATCTAATCTCATTACAGAGCCTGTTCATTTTGTAACCAGTTATTTCATTCTATGATCCTTCAAACATGATCTGATTTGTTTTATAATGTGTGCTTGATACAAAAACAGTAAAGCTCCTGAATGGTTAACTTGAAATCAGAGCATCTCTGATCTTTTATAAATAATGCTCAGCATCTTTTTGGATGAAAATCAGGGTCTCACATCTATTCTCTGGAGGGTTCCCAACCCCCTACTTTTTGCTTCCGCTTCTGCAAACTTCCTGTAGACATATCTAATGTGCCTTTCAACCAATAGCCAGCAGCTCTGCTGGACTGCTGGAAAGATGATAGTTTGTTCTAAATGGATTTGGGCCTAAAAAATTGAACTAAAGGAGATGATGAACATCAGACATCACAATGCGATTCACATACCGCCTCCAAATTCTCCATAAGGCCATAACCATGTATAGTTAGTCCTTTCCTTACCATTGCTAGAATGAACCTCATAATCTGAGTAACAACTGAGATGACACAGCTGTTTTTCAGTTTACACTGTAAAAGTGGTCTTTAGGCAGTTGCATTTGTCTCAAAACTTCTGGTTTGCATATCACAACAGCACAGGGAATGATATCAGTAAGAAGATTAGCCTGAAAGAAAAAGCTCTGTGAAAAGGTCCACAGTTTTCCAAGCCATGAGAAAAGTGAAATTATATATTAAATAAGCCAGGTAGTAACAATGTAGTGTTTGAAGCCACATCTTTATAGTTCCAGTAGAGAACACACTAGTACAGGGGTAGCCACCCTGTGGCACGGTTGTGTGCAAGATTTGTGGCAGATGGGCTGGGGGAGGGGTGAACAGGTCACACAGTAGCAGATAGGGCAGGAAACAGAAAGCAGAGCAGCAGATGGGGCAGGAAGCAGAAAGCACAGCAGAAAGTAGAATATCTGATCACATGAGGGAAGGGGATCAGAGTGGCACTGTGGGCAGGACACCCAGGGCAGGTGCCGGGGTAATCTGTGGCATACCTGCCAAAAAGGTTGGCCACCACTGCCCTAACAGATATTACCTAACAAAAGGCATTAAATCTGAGTGGGGGAAATTCTGGTTCCCTTGAAGCCAACAGGAGTTTTGCCATTGACTCTACTGGAGCTAGAATTTCACACTTAATATCCACTGTATTTTAAAAGTATTTAAAAATAAATTGAGCATTTACTCTTCAGTAGGCCAAACCTGAAATAAAAACCTGTGCAGAACAGAAGGCTGCCCACGGAAGGTTTTCTAACAGAGTGAGAATGCCGCATCTCCTGGTCCCATTTCTACCAGTGTAATTACAGCGTGTTGGAGCAGCCTCACTGCACATGTATGGGCACCCCAGGTTTCTGGATGAGAGTTGGCCATAAACATGACAGAAAAATTTAATGAAATGGTGTTTTTATACCCATAACATTTATGAATCCTACAACTAGTCTGTTCAGGTTATTATTATGGCAGTAACAGCCACAGTAGCCCCAACCAGGGCCCAGGGCCCCACTGTAATAGTACTATGCAAACACAGGAAAAAAGATGGTCCCTACTCTGAGCTGCTTACAATCTAAGCATACAGGCACCCCGGGCCGTCCCTAGGGGGGTGGATCAGGGAAGCCGCCCCAGGCCCCGCACTTTGGGGGGCCCCGCAGAGCTAGGCAGAGAGGCCGCGGCTGCATATCGCGCCCGTCCGCCTGGCGGGTTGGACAGCTCTTTGCCTGTTCCGGCCGGGAGTTCCAGCCGCCACCCGTCCCACTGTGTCCAATGTGCCGGGGCTTTCACTCCCCAGCATAAGAGTGCCACGGGATGGGAAGAGGGAGGTGGGCCCCACACAGGCCGCTTTGCCCCGGGCCCCACACCCTGCTGGGATCATCTCTGCAGGCACTTATATAATCCACATATTAGTTAACTAAAATAGTTGAGGAAATATTTTGGGGGTCTAACTATACTATAGAGCCATGCTGCACCACGCCACCTTTCACCAAGCCCTACCAGGCCCTGTCAACAACAGTTCACAGAAATGCAAATAGTACTGTAGGCTGAATTTTTCCAAATATTACAAACACGTAAGGGGAAAAGCCTCAGTTAATGGAAGCATACAGTAGAGCCCTATGGGATGTTGAAGGGAGTTTATATAAATTTTACTACTGCTCACTAAAGGGCAAACAATTTAATACTTTGCTCTTTGGCATTTCCTTAGTCTTTGGACTTCTTTTTAATTTGTACCTGAGGACTTAGATTAGCTGGGAAGGGTCATGATAGAAATTCCTATTTCTACTTTTTCTCTTTATGTTTCCTTTTGGTCAGCCTACACAAACCCAAGTGGATTGCTTGAAGGAAGAGGGAAAAGAATGGCCTTTTAATTTAAATTCTCTCCTTGAGGGATCTGACTGCAGCTAAATGTGTTTGGCATTAGCCTCTATTTTTCACTTTTAACCAGAGGGAGTGAGAGAATAACAGCACAGTCACCCGTTTCTAATTCTACTCATGAACTCTCAGACTAACAAAGATGATGGAAAAGGAACACACACAAGAAAAGTTGAGTCACAGAATACAAGATTTGTTCTTCAACCCAAGAATTCTTTTGGGAAAAGATGGAGAAAACAGGTAGTGTTTTTCATGCAAGCCTGCATATTCATCCAAGCTTGTATCAATATGCAAGCCTGGATTCTCTGTTAGCCAAGTTTATGCGCCCCAAAACAGAGTAAAAATAATGTTACTGAGACTGCAAAGTCAAGTCATTCAGTGCACAGAACAGAACCTTTGTGGGGATGAACCGTCACGTGGTGAAGGACTCTGTTGCATATAGGTCCCTTTTTTCATTTGCTACTGAAGTTCCAAGGCGTGTAAATGAGACGGAGGATTTCAGGAAAAGGAAGGAAGATCTGGCAACCAAAATACATGTGTGATACCCTGAACAACTGGATTTTACATTCTATTCCTGCTTCTGCCATAGCATGTCTGTTTAAGTGTAGTCGAGTTACTTCGGATTTTCCTACACAGCCAAACGCAGGTGTGATTGGAGAGTAGGGAGGCAGACTAGTTTTAATGTAACTAGCACTGGTAACACTTGTGGTGAGGATACGATGGCATGGATTTAAGGGTAGGTTTGCAACACACATAGTCACCTAGACACACTGGCAAAGTAGTGCATACCATGCTGAAGCTGAGTGTACCGTATCTTCACTACTTCTGTTATCGAGGTACGGATAGCGTGGGTATGTCTGCCTACAATATTCACACCTTCATTCAACATGTTGATCCACCCCTAAAACAAATTTTCAGAGGGAGCCAGTCATTAAATGTATGTCACTAAGGCTAGGAACAGACATTGTATTTCTCCTTGGACAAGTTGTGCTTGTGTTTGTCCCAGAACAGAAATATTCCAGGACTGGCATGTACACACATGTCCTTCTAATCAGGGTTTAGTGAATGGTTGAATGAACTGCTGCTTCTCTGCCATTGATTCAACTGTGAAATCCCAAGACAACTATTCAGATGTTCTTTATGATGTCCCACAATAAACTGTCAGTACTTCTTACCCTGTGAACCATTTTAGGATTTACGCAGGGACAATGGTCTTAGATGGCTGAACTAGTGCACCTTGCGCTGGGATAAAATAGTTTATTCCAGGATGAATATGATGCCAGTTTGTAGACTTAAAATCATTTTATTGGTGTATTTGACCCTGGATTCTGATTTGCAGAAGTTGTAAACACATAGAACTACAACTGAAGTCAATAGGAGCTGTGCTTTGAATAAATGGAGTATTGTATGACAATGAGGACACTGAAAAACGAGGTTCTGGACATCTCAAAATTGCTCAGTTTAATAGTATACTTAGTAGACAAAATTAGGAGATATTTCTGAACTTAATCTGTGCTTTAGTTCCCCATCTCTGAACTGGGGATAACACCCATTAATCTAGTAGGGTGATTCATTTCATGTTTGGAACAGGACCGATCCAAAAGGAAGTGTTTCATTTCATTTCCAGGAAAGGTGGGTCTTCCCTTTCTTAAAAAGATAATTCAATAATTCTAGCCATTCAGACTTGATATATTGTTTTGAAATTTAAAAAATACTTAGTTTAAAAAATGCCATATTTATCCATTATTTCCACCTGAAACTATTCTCTGAATTTAGCAAATATTTGCAAATACCTTCCAAGTGTACCCTATCACAGCATTTTCAACAAATAAATCATCAGGAAAAAAAAATCATTGCAACTCTGGTGCATTTTCTAGTGGCTGGGGAGGTGGGGGGTGTTGTTTGTTTGGTTGGCTGTTTGAAGAGAACTGGAAAACCAAATTCCATTATGTGGCATAACCATTCAGGTCATGATCAAAATTAAAAACTTCAGAGCCTACAGACCTCTGTTATTTGAGTTAATGGAGTAAATGATATTGATTCTCCATATGTTGTGGGATGGGACGGTGCCAGAGGATTTCATAAATATTTGCTGTCACTAGTTGGGACTCTCCATTCCAGTTCCAGTGTCTTCAGTTAGCCAGTCCTTGCTCCACTCCTCTGAAATCTCATTCCAAACTATATCTTGATACTAATACTTGCTAGGAATGATCTTCCCATCTCAGCCTCCTCCCCCTAACAATTGCCTCTTGCCCCACCACATATGTGTATGTGTTCCTCATCAGATCTGTCCAGTAGTGTAACTAGGGCAGACCGAGCAGTGCACCCACTCTGGGTGCTGACTATGAAGGGGTGTCAGGATCCCTGCCACTGCCACTCTACCCCCAGGAAAGGAGTCTTTTCTGTGGCAAGGGAAGCCCTACACTGCTCCAGCCCGCCACAAACTACGAAGTGCAGCACCACAGCAAACAGCGCATCTGGAGGACAGGTGGACTAAGCAGAATACTGCTCTCCCTACACCCACTCTGATCTATTATGGTTGGCATACCTTAACCATCTCCCTCTCCCCACTCTGCCCCCTGGACCCAGTTGTTCAGTAAGCTCCCTACACCACTCGATCTGTCTTCTTGTAAGCCAGAGGCCTATCTTAAAGGATTAATGCCACAGCACAGTTCAGTTTCAACCTCTGACTCATAATGTATTGGTTACAATGCAAAACATAAGTAAAATACCAAAATAAAAGCCTTCATTTTCCCTACAGTTCTTCAGCACACCAGAGGTACTGGTTGGCTTTTATGAGGTTCAGACTCAGCTGTCACCTAATCCCTGGTCTCATCAGGAAGGCAAGTGACTTGCCCTGTGACACTTTCTCCTACCCTTCACTGTAGGGCACAAGCGCCAGAGCATGGCACCTGGAGGCATTTTGCTTGGCTCAAGTGCCTTGGGGCAGACAACAGGGAAGGGGCCAAGGCTACATTGCCAAAACAAGGATCAGGCCCCTTGCAGCTCCCCTGCCATCCACCCCTGCATGCCAACATCTTACAAGTTGCAGTTGTGGGTATTTTTGGCACTCTGCCCAAAAAAATTGCTGAACCCTGCTCTATGGGTTTTGAGTCCCAGCCTCCTTAACCAGATAATCTAAATTTTACTCAATGAAACTCTTATTCCTAGTTCCCCTCTTGTGCTACTGCCTTCTCTTCAGCCTTCAGTCCCACTGTCCCCCCTAAAGCTTTTTGTCCCAGATTGCTTTCTTGGTTTCTATTTCAGGTCTTTCTCCTGCCCTTTACATTTTTTATTCCATTTCTAGGCTGCCTTCACCTAGCAGAATAGGGGGAAAATGAGAACTTGAGAGAGCATCTCTCCACTTCCAGTTCTGAATCTCTGTATCTCTCTGCAGCCCAGAGATAAAGGCCGAATTTCAGTTCCCTTCTTCAGGTCCTAAAGGTTCTCGAAACACCACTTTGCGTTTTTTAAACATGACATGAAAAAATAATGTATTTTCCTCTAGCTGTTTCTCAGAAAAAACAGCCATTTGGGTACTTAAAAAAAGGGGGAGGGGGGGAGGAGCAAAATCTGTCTGAGGCAAAAAAAAAAAATCCATCATGAAAAATTTGCAACCTCTGCATACAACTGCAGAAACCAGTCTTGCAAACATTAACTACAACCCCAGGTGCATATTACAGTTTTTGATCTATGGCAGTATTTGGCCTCTCCACTCATAGTCTCTCTAATAGCCTTGTGAGGGGCTTTATCAAAGGCTTTTGAAGTTCAAATGTATTGTTTCAATCAGTTCTTTTATTCACTGTGTTATTGGCAGATGCAAAGAATTCTAATAGATTATTGAGACAGGATTAATTTACCATTTAATCCTAATGGTCATACTCCCTATAGCTTAGATTTACTGAGGCGCTCTTAACTATGAGTTGACAACATTTTCTG